TATAATTGTTTCTCTTCCTTTCCCTCTATTTATTTTCCCCAAGGAAGATATGCAATTGTTGTAGCATAGAGTACCTGGAAAGCAATTCAATTCTACCAGGAAAAATTCTACAACTATAATAATGCATTAAATTCTCCATGGAAGCAACTTTACCATATGTTTAGAACAAATCAATAATAATTTTGTGGAATTCATTTAGAAACTAATACATAGTTTAACTAAAAAATGGTAAAATTTTAATCTAAAATGATAAAACTTAAGCACACATGAAATTTTAAGTGTTGAAACAATGTGTCCCTATCAATAATATAATTTGGCATGCATTATTCTAAATTTGTTTTGTTCTAAATATAACTTCAAAGTGATTAAAGGGGAAAAAGCCAGAAAGAGTTTATCTCAAAGACTGAGAGAGGAGAAAAATATTTACCAGTGCAGCAGCATGTGCTTCTTGTAAAATATTGCCATCGATTTCCAATCTGGCAATAGGAAACTCTGGAAGGTGTCCCGATTGTTTTTTACCAAGCAAGTCACCAGGACCACGTAGAAGAAGATCGATATTTGCCAAGTGAAAGCCATCAGATGATTTCTCCAATACCTTCAGACGGTTAAGGCTACTAGCAGTAGATGCTACTAATATACATTTAGACTTTCTTACTCCACGTCCAACTCGTCCTCGAAGTTGGTGCAACTGAGCTATTCCAAATCTCTCAGCATTCATTACAACCATCATAGTTGCATCTGGAACATCTACTCCAATCTCGATTACCTGAGTGGAAAGCAGTATATGTGTATCCCCAGTTTTAAACCTTCTCAATGCTTCATCTTTTTCATCACTTTTCATTCTTCCATGCAATAAACCACATCTGTAACCCTGAAATTTATGTGAGATAGCTTCAAGATCTGCAGAAGCAGCACGAAGTTGAGGTAGTTGCTCAGATTGTTCAATGACTGGATACACAAGATACACTTTGCCTCCTGCTTCTAATTCTTCCAGCATCATCTGGAAACAGAACTATATTCAGCATCTAGTGACATTTAAAAAGATGAAGAAACCAACCAAACCATCATATCAAGACAGCACATCATGTCATCGTTTTAAATCAACATTAAGCCTCCAATTATTGACAAAAAGGTGAAAACAAAAAGACCTACCAGAATACATGTTAAAAAGGAAGACACGCACAAAATGTTGATAAACACTGTATCTTCTCTTCTGAGAACAAAATAATCTTGTATATTGTCATCTGTTACAATCTGCACTTTTGGTTTATGTTAAAAGAGCATTACTAATTTAGTGTCCGAGTCTGCCGTCATGGGAGATTTTAAAGCCTTCCAAAAGTAATTTGAAGTTTTCTTGACTATGCACCACGCAAGACAAAAGAAGCTTAAGACACAAATTGAATTCCCTGCCAAGGACCTTTTAACAAACTGACTGGAACACCAAAATAAATCAGCAGCTAGTGGCAACCAGCAGAGAGATTGACTTAGAATGGTTCCAATGACACCACAAAAAGTGGGAATTATGTGCCAAACTATGCAAAACCGGATGTCCTATATTTTGATGGCATCATGGATCTGCTAGGATGACTTAGCTGCTCTTTTTAGGCACCAACACTTGCAGGAGGAGGTCAAGTTGGACTGCCTTTTCACTTAGAAGGGGATGCCCAACTTCTGTTTTTGAAACTTGAGCAAGACAGACTTGACTTAGATTGGGAGGAATTTAAGCAACATTGCAACCTGTGCTTTGGGGGAGTTGGTGAAGTTATGGCAGCCAGGATCAATGTCAGAATACCATCATAAATTCAGGAAGCTGTCTACTAGAGCTTCCTCCCTCACATCTGAACAAGAGGTAAAACTTTTTCTAGTGGTTTGAAGGATACACTTGCCCCTGGATCAAATTTTTCCTCCCTCACCCTGTGACATAACAACGGCTGTGAGTTTGACCAGATTATATGAGAACGAGTAGGAAAGAAGGCCATAATCATTGGGGATATGCAAACCAGGGTCTAAACCAGGGCCCTTGTCCACTACAAAACCACAATTTGCCAAAAAGTTGAGTTACGCAAAATGGATGAGAGGCAAAAAAAAGACTGTTTCAACTGTAATGAGTACTACATATGGGGCATATCTGAAAGTAGATTGTGTTGCTTAGATCTATAAGAAGAGCCCATCAAAGAAAGTGACGGTGAAGATACTAGTGATATAGAAATTCTTGCACATCATAAGCAGATTTCAGACTGCCCGAACTATGAAATTTGTTTGGATGCAAGAGTAAAATCAAGGATCTGGTGGCTAATGGCAAAGAGTACGAATTCCGGGGGTACATTACAAGTCGCAAGGTGCCTCTTTTCCTTGGAAACCTCAAAGTTTACCTTGACCTTTTCATCATCCCACTTCACGGCTTTGAGGCAGTTTTGAAAGTTAACAGACTGTGACAACTGGGTCCAGGTCTCCAGGACTTTTGCCTCATGCAATCATGAGAACTAGTCATCCCTTAGCAGTTTGTGTTAAACTCTTTGTATTATTTTGCTTTTTTATTAGATGTAGTAGCGAGTTATTCCAGATAGTGAGGAAGTTCTCCGGGCAATTAGAAGTTGCCTCTCCCTTAGGAGGTAGACTTAACATCTTCTCTTTGTTCCGGATGTTGTATATAGATATGCAGCTTCTAAGAATAAAAAAGAAGCAGAATGTCTTTAAGAAAAGCAGATTTTTTAAAAATTATTTTATTATTATAATAATAATAATTTTTTAACTCAAGAAATCAAGGGATCGAAGGTTTCCTCTCGATGCACCCTTAAATATAAGAAAATAAAGGAAAAAATTCCAGAAAAAACTATAAAGAATTTACTTCAAATTGCAGTCAGCACATTTTCAGGAACCTGATCTAATTTGTGAAGAAACATGGGAAGAGGAAGAAGGAAAGAAATGAATTGAAGAAGCACAGGTTGCTGTAGAAAAAGAAACTCAATATTCATTCATGTTTTTCCTTGATAAAAAATCTATTCTAACACCACCTTTTATAGTTGAAAAGTAATTAATTGAAACTCTAGCTAATCAAAACAACCTAACTGATAATTTCTAACAAACCTAATCATTATTAGTTGGGTCCTGATGATACCCTCGATATGAAAGCATCCTTGTCCTCAAAGATGAATTGATTAACCTCAAGTCTTCATTGCCACCATAATCAAGCTATCCTTGAACAAATATGACAGCATAAAGAGGAGTTGCATATTTTAATGCCATATAATAATTTTCTACAAAAGAAATTTGAAGTGGAATATGATTGTGTGTAAAAATCTTCAACTGTAGCCAAGGACAACTTTGGTACGTACCCAAATATCAGTTGATGCAAGTTCATTTCTTTCATGTGCAAACATAATGAGTTTTCTCTTATTTGCCATCAGTTGTTAAAAACCCCACCACTTTGTTGGAGATTTTTCAAACACCCAGTGTGCATGGTTAGGTAAAATCTTCTCATTAGTCCTATATATAACTCTTCAGGAACAATTGAAAAGTCTTTCTTTACAGATCTTTCAATTACTACTCCACATTCCACCTGGATTTCATCTGCAACAATCCAAACTTCCATGTCTCCATCAAAAGTAAGCGTGAGACTAGGTGAAGTTATAGAAGTTGATAGAAATAAATGTGAAAAATATTGTGGTTGGGGAATTTTAACAAGCACCTTATGCTCATTCATCAAGCCACCTTCATTTCCAACATGCTTTGGCTCCTCAACAGATTCATCTAACATTCAACCATCACATATTCTACAATCTCCACTATTATCTCATTATCAACAAAAGAAAAATTTATAGTAGGAAGAACTGGCGGCAAAGTTGAAGATGATAGATGACTCTTCCATGTGGTAGGAGAGGAAGTGTTGCTGCACAATATTTTTCATGCTTCGTTGAGTTTCTATTTGCACTGATAGAAACTCATTATCGGCAAGCTGATGCTGATGAAGGGGAAAAATAAGAACTCGCTCACGACATTGTCTTCATCTCCTCAATTTTGCAGTCCAACTAACATACGTCCTCTTGTAGAGCAACTTTCTGCTCCAATCAAAGCTCTGTCCAGCTTTCGGAACTTACAAATAGAGAAGATCGACCAAATGCTAGCAAAACTGAAGAAGATGGTCCCTGTGTAGAAGGCTCTAGAGGCCGTGCCAAGCTCAGAATCAGGTCCAGGAGTTCAGTGAACCTTTGCTCTAGTCTTGCCAGATGTTGCTGCTGGCACTCTTTTTTTTTCTTTTTTCTCAACAAAGTTTTTGAGTTTCTGATCTAACTCCTTTAACGATCTCATCAATCTGTTGCAATTTTCGCCAACTCGCAATCACCAGGTTCCCTTTCTTTCTATCCTTTGATGTTATTACAATTAGTGTTGCATCGAAATCGTGAAGATAGATTTGCATAAGTTGTAGAAAGGAAGAAGAAAAGACAAGTAGAGAGAGTCAAAGGTGAAGGATAAGAAGAGATAGAAGAAAGCTAGAAGGGAGAAACAAAGAGAAGGAAGACACAGAAGAAGAAATCATGATTGTTGAAATCTGATTTACTCTAGTACCAAGTTATCAGCAACCTGTCCTGATTTATGAAGAAATAAGAGAAGAAGAAGAATGAGAGAAAAGAAAAGAGTCGAAAAAAAACAACTTTGCAGTAGAGTTCTAAAGTCCAATATTCATTCATGTTTTTCCTTGATAGAAAACAACCTAATTAATTATTATAATAAACCTAACCACTATTAGTTGGGTCCTGAGAATGCCATTTACTTGAATTTGCAGTCAGCACATCCACAACCAGATCCAACCTTAGGGACCATAAAAGGTATTCAACAAGTTAACCAAGATTATGCAGTAGTATCTTAAGTACTGAAAAGATATAGGTGTAAGAATAAGAATCATTACAGTGTAAACTTCCTCAAAGCCATTGTCATTTCCTTCAAAAATATATGTTTCAACTGGCAATCTTCCAGGGGGCAAGTCAGTTATCTGTCATTGAACAAAGCAAAGAATGGGAATTAATATTGTATAAGAATTTTAGTTTTGGGACCAAAGCAAAGATGTCTGAAACTTAAATCTCTTTCTGATCTCTTAAGCAGTTATCTCTCTTCTCCAATCATGATTACAGCCTTACTTTTAGTGGATGGATATCCATTGCCTTAAAACTAATCAATCATTGCCCCAGAAAAATATTAATTCAAAATATCCTTACATCAAGAGCTGATTTAAATGTGAATAAATCTATTACAAAAGCAACTAGGTAAATGCAAAGTATCTATTACAAAGCAAAAAAGAAAGTGTCAAGCAATAAAAGAGAAATATCTAACTACAAAAGCAAGAATAAGAAAAAAAACATCGATATTAAATTACAAGGTCCATCCCAATCCAAGAAAAAACTTTCCCAGCCTCATGTTATATAGGAAGGTGAACAAAATTTCAAATCAATTGTTTAAATCATTCAGGGAACATTAAGAAGTCTATCTATTTATATAGGGTTTGCTTACAATTGTAAAAACTGCAAGCTTCACATACCTGAGTAAGGGACATATCTCCATATAAAGCCAGAGCAAGTGTTCTTGGAATAGGAGTAGCAGACATGGCAAGGATATGAGGGGCCATATATCCATCACCTTTTGGAGGACCATCTGAATTAGCTGGTGCCATTGTTGAATTCACAGAGGCAGTATACAACTGTACATGAGGTGTTTTAGCATGCTTTACAAGTGACATGCTTGAGAAAAAAGGAAGAACAAATAGCAAGGACAGGAACATTATTTTCCACCACAATTTTTTACTTGTAAATCTCTAGTTAAGAAATAATTCAAAACTATTTGAACAATGGCCATACAAATCCTTGTTCAATTTCTTAGTTTTAAGAATAATTACATCCATTTTTCTTAAAGAATCATTATTGTTGGTAATCTGCAATTGATGCAACCTATTTCAACTTTACCAAGTCACCTATTTTGTTATTGCGGACAGGCAGTCCAAATAGTGGGGTTTGACTTGGTTAAAGCAATTTATTCATCTTGCAAAGATTTTAGGATAATCTATAAAGACTTAGTAGTCCAAAAATGTGATCCTAATTTTTCATTACACGATAGATACCTGTTTAGAGGAAGCCGCAATTTTCTACTTGACATGTCCCTTTCACTGGAATTAATCTCGGAATTACATTCAAGTGGTATAACAAGTCATTTTTGAAGAGATAAACTAATTTTCATGGTTATGATCGATTTTATTGGCCAAGCATTAAAAGAGATGAGGCTAGTAGTTGCTAGATAACATATTTGGCAAGTCTACAAGGGAAAGAAGCACAGTACTGGCTTGTAGACGCCTCTTCCTGTACTCCATGAGCCTTGGATGGATATAAGCATGGACTTTGCACTCAGTTTGCCAAAAACAACTAGAAACTATCACAATATTCCTTATAGTAGATTGATTCTATAAAACTGTTCATTTCATTCCATGCACAAAAGCCCCTGATGCTTCTAACTAACCAAACCATTATTCAGATTTCTGATTGTCGTATAAAATTCGTAAGCTATTTTTGCTGTACTTTATAGAGAATGTTCAACACTTAGCACAAGTACCCTAAACCCTTTCATCCATGAACTGATGGACAAATTGAATACACTAACAGAAGCTTTAGGAGGCCTTCTTCATTATTGTGCTCGAAACCACAATAACAGTCGATTGGGTTATGGCTTCCTTCATTGTTGTGAATCAGTCCTTTTGAATGCATTACAGCCATATAGCCAAAGCTTCCTATTGATTTGGTTTATTTGCCTTTGCATGCTCGTCTTAGCATTGAAGTAGAAGATGATGCTAAACTATTCATGACATACACGCTGAGGTTGGAACACGAATTGCTTTAACCAATGAAGGTCATAAGATCTTTACTGACTAAAAAAGAAGACGTCCTTATTTTAACGAGGGAAATATAATTATGGTAAACATCAGACCTGGAAGGTTACAAAAGGGAGTTCGTAAGAAACTTCATTAAAAAAATATTGGTACTTCCAAGATTCACAAGAAGATTAGCCAAAATGTTGATGTTCTTGACTTGTCGGAAGATATAAACTTAAAGTAAGGTCTTAAATGCTGAAGATTTGACTTCATATCAGGGATGTAATACTACTGGTTTTCATGATTAAATTTCTATTCACTTACCAGTTACTACAAACCTCAAGGATGAGATAGAAAATATTGTTTAACGGTCAAAAAGGTAATAACAAGAAGTGGTAATCGCCAGAGTTCTA